ACTCATAACATGCAGATCAGCTAAGTGAGGAAAAGAAAAGGTCAGGACAATCAGGAAAATTTTTAAAGGGGAGTATTTAGTGTAATCAAGTATTTGTTAACGCTTTGCCCTTCTACATGATTATTATTTTCTGGTTTAAAGTCATTTGTTGCAAGAAAAGGATCTCTGTTATTCGTGAAATACCTCAAGAATGCATTTAGATATTTCCTTAGGTTTAATATATTTGGGAAAGTTGTCTCAGAAGCCTATTAGTTGACTTTTACTCCTTTTTGACTTACCTACACTGTTTGACACAAGCCTTTGACGTAGCTGTAATTAAATGCTGTTGGTTAACTTCTATCTGAATCCAGCTGGGGCTGAGGCATCCCAAAATAACAACAGGCTCCAGGATGCCTTTTGGGAGTTGGTGTTGTATCCTCAAAAGCTGGAACAGAACTGTGCCGAAATTATATTTCTATATGTGATTTATTCTTAATGCTGAGGCCAACTTTTAATTCCTGACCCCTGTGCCAGTCAGACTTTGCATCTCATCACTCCCCATCAACACTCATTCTTACTTAGAGATTACACTTCACTTACAATAAATCCACCGGCCTGGTGCATTTTTTTACTGCAGTTTTCTGGCTAGCAGTAAAGCATTCTAATTTATTGAGCCAAATCTCTGCATTTTCACAGAAGCTTTACTCACTCCTTAAATTTGCCTCGTGAAATCCAAATAATTCCAATATTATGTGTTAGAAAATAGTAAGTCAGACTTCTGCATAAGAATTACTGATAAATTATTTGCTGACACAGCTCACTGTGCACACACATCCACAGTCACACTGCTATACAGGTATTTTTTTAACCTGTACAAGACCTCTCTGATAGTTTTACCTAAATCAGCCTCAGTGGGTTAAATATTAAGGTCAGGGTTACATGGTTATTACAGTTGCCAGGATTAGGAAAAAATATCTATCAATGAGAAAATTCAGTAATACCAATAAATAAATAACACCTCTACTGCCTAAAAGCAAAATAATTCTGAAAGGACGGACTTAAAAAATGTTAGTTGTGCTGCAAACTTGAAGGAAAACTGATATTAAAACCAAACTGAAGAGGAATTATGCCAGCACACCCTCCTTTATTTCTCTGGAAGGATAATCCAGTGTCCCAGGTTGCTCCAAGCCCCGTCCAGCCTGGCCTTGCACACTTCCAGGGATGGATCCCGGGCAGTTGTACCTCAGCAAAGGCTCTGTTGAAGGGAAAAGCTGGTGTTTGGATTTGCTCTGGATGTCCCTGCAGCTGTGAAACGTGGATGGCAGTGTTGCTGGAACAACCTCTCTTGGGAGGTTTCCTGTACTTTCTGCTTGCAGCATCGCCAAGAATATTCCTAAGGCAGCTTTTTCACAGGGACTTGGAATTTCACACTCTAGATGAAAGCAATTCAAAAGCAACCAGAGTTTAAAAGAAACAGAGTATTTCAGGTTGGCTGTGTTAAACTGAAGAAATGAGCAGGCTTAAAGGGAAAGATTCCTTCTTTTGGAATCCAGAGTGGATCTTTCGGATCCAGGATGTCTCTGGATCTCTGCCTGTAGTTGGAAACAACTGAAATGGCACAGCAGCATAGCTGGCTTATCCATGTTTTCAAAAAGTACTGTCCTCTCTTAGCCTGGGGAAATATATTCCTGTAGGATTTTATCCTCTGGGTGCTTAAGAATTCCACCTCAAGCACTGTGTTGTGAGTGCTTGAAGTGGAATTCCACCAAATTCCAGGCAGGAAAAAGCTCTGCTCCCCACGACCTGCGGGAAAGTTCGCTGGTCTCTGCAGAAACCTCCCAAAGCAGCCTCCAGTCCGTGTGTGTGCGATGGCTCACACGAGAAATATTTCCATCTCCAGCTTCCCCAAGGACATCTGTTTCATTTTGGACTTTTTTTAAAAAACCACCTCTATGTCAGCAGCTGAAAAACAAGGAGACGCGTTGGAGTCAGCTCTGGAACTGCTCCTGAGCTCTCACATGGGCTGTGCTCGATGCCAAAGAGTTCCAGCGCTTGGGTCTCACTGGAATGTTGTCTGTGGTGTCACCACGGGCACAGCTTCCAAGTCCTGCAGATTTAATGAGCCTGAGCACGCTTCTCACATCCCCAAGCACAGCAGCTGGAACCTGAAACAGATATCCCAAGCTTCCTTTCCTAAGGATGGTATGTAGAGAGGGCCTCAGGCGAGCCATCAACACCTAGAAGCCGTCGATTTAGGATTTATGGATGGAAAAGTAGAGGTGCTCAAATTCCAGGGTCAGGATGCTTAATAAACTATTTGTCTTCCTGTGAGAGTAAGTTTGCTAACATCACATGATAACACAAGTCTCTTGGCTTATCTTTGGTTGCATAAACATGGTTTTGTACTAAATACACACATAGACAGTGATTGAGAATACATGTTTTAGACAGTCATCTGCTGGTGTGAAAACCCAAATGAATGCTTTTGTTGTCTGGGGGTTTTTTGTTTCAAAACTGGATGAAGAACCAACACGTTTTCTGCTTTACAAGCCAATTCTGCCTGTATTTTTTCCCAGAGGCCAAGTATATAAAGCCAGAGTCTTCATTTGCAGGGAACTCTGTAGCTATCTTCCATGCTTCTCTAATCCCACATTTTCTCTAATTCTACATTTCACAGCCCAAAAACTTTTAGGTCCAGCTGAACAATCCTCAGAGCATTGTCCCTTACTCCAAGAGCTGGTTGTTATTCTCCCAGAGCTGCAGAGAGCTCGTTCCAGATACAATCCCAGCTTTTCTCTCATGCTCCTCAGGTGCCTGTTCTTCACAGGAGCTGCTGCTAAACATGAGAAACAGCCACAGCATTCACGGAGAACATGAAAAGATATATTGTACTTTTCAGGGAAGAACGCAGCTTGGGAGGCAATGAGAATAAATCACAGTGAATAATTTTCACTCACTGAACTTAGTACAGAAATGGGGGGAGAAGGGCTGAGCGTGAAAATATTCCCTCTCTCATTCCATAAAGTAACAGCTAAACCTTCTCAGGACTCCTTTGAAAGCTGTATGAAACATTTGGTGTAGATACACTTTCTGTACAAGCCCTTGGTGGAGGGAAATCATACAGGAAGAAAACCCACGGGCTGATTTAACAGTGGCAGCAAGTGCTACGATGGCAGGATTTGGGATTTAGAGAGTTTTGTAGAATTATAGAATCATTCAGGGTGGAAAAGCCCTCTAAGATCATCCGTTTCCCTGTTTCCAACCGTTTCCCTGGCACTGCCAAGGCCACCAAGTGCCACATCTACATGTCTTTTAAATCCCTCCAGCGATGGTGACTCAAACGAAGCCATGGGTTATGAAAACATTGCAATAAACTGTATTTTGATCAAAGTTACTCTGGTCATTCCGGAGAGAAAACACCTTCAAGAAGATCAAAAGGCAGTCTGGCACAGTTCTAAACTGGAAATCCTTTGAAGAGAAGGAGCTAAATCGATGAGGAGCCGATGAAGAGCTGAGGAGGAGGGATGGGAACTGAAACTCGCAGGGGTAAAAGTTACGAGGAGAAGACCAGCACATACCCCAGGATTCCAGTGAGGAGTGTTCAATCCCTCCCCCCCTCAGTGGTTCTTGGATGAAGCAATAAGTGCAGCTGTCTCTGGAGAAGGAGGGTAAAAGTGTTTACCAAGTCCATTTTGCACTGACTCATCTCCACACCGCGTTACTACAAGTTGGCCTCTGCTGGGGAAGAAAGCTTGGCAGGAGGAGATTCTTCTCTTGCTCAAGGTCTTCTTGCTGACTAGCAAGGGCCAAGTTCTCCAGAGGAGCTGGAAAAGGTTCCAGGAAGCGTAACTCGGTGTGTTTTTCTTTTCTTTCTTGGTCACAAAAAGGAGTTGCTGCCCAGTACCACAGAAGATACAAGTACTCCCTTCCCAGTCCTTACTATGTAAAAGAGAAGAGCTCCAGAATACTGAGAATTCCCCTGATACCCCAACCCAGAGCTCTCTGTGCCCTCCTCCCCACCGCCCCCCCCTTTAATTTAAAATAAAAAGAATGACCTCACCCTTTCTTTGGAAAAAATTAATAAACTACAAGGCATCTTAATGACAAATCCTTACTGGGATGAGTAATTCTTTGTTGGAGAACAGCACCTGGAGTAGGAGGTTTTTGTGTTTGGTTTCAATCTACACACACCTTCATGGGGAACATAAAGAATTATAAGATGATCAGAGGGCTAGACCGGGAAATTGGAATTGAAAAAAACAATTTGAAAGAGGGTGCACATTTCTAATGATCTGGGTAATTAAACATTGGAACAATTTAGCAAGATTGGGGTGGATTTTCCATATGGTTTAACATGTTTGTACTTAGACTGCTTCATAACATGGTATCTGTAGCAAATTTATAAACACAGTTTGCTAACACAGATTTTTGCTTCAACTTGCAGCAAGTGCATAAATAGATTTGAAATTGTTCACAGGAAGGCTAATTAAAAAAATGAATCACTGTATCAGCCATGCTGGTGATCCCATCCACGCTTCAGACAGCACAGGGAGAGTTCAACTCATCTCCAAAAGGGCAGATTGGGTTAGAAAAGAAAAATAATATTCATAAGAGATTTATAATTAAAGCCAAAGATTCATTTCCGCTGGAAACAGATGGTCAGGCAAAGGGATAATTTAGCTAAAGCCTGTGCTTCAACTTGCTAACAAAAGCATGGATTTAATCTTCCATCCAGTTGCACGGGGTAACCTGTTTATCGTGCATTATGGATCAGGGAATATCCACACCACTTAAAAACCAGCACTGCTGCTTTCAGTGAGAAGAAATTACAACTGCAAGTGAGGAGAAAAACGAACAAGACTTATAAAACTCCAGGGGAGAATGAAAGACTGAGGGCTGGGTGAATTGGGAGGAACCTAATGTGGTGATAATGGGGGGTAGATATTGAAGATATCGCTGAGATGTTGTGGTGGGTAAGTGGAGGGCATTGGATAGACAACAAAGAGGTTGTTTTTCTTTGTTTCTTCAAGGTGAACTAAGGAACCAGTTGCAGTATTGTATGGACAAATCTCAGTGACAGCACTGGAAACACACCTTCATACCTTGGGAAGTCTTCTATCTCAGGAGACAATGCGGAAGAGAGTCACTGACAGGTCTTTTTTTTCTGGGAATAAAGGAAAAGTGTTGGTAACATCACATCTAAACTGGTTTTCCTTCCACCTACCCTCCCCATAATGAACAATTTTGGTTCACTGCTGTCACACCTACCTTAGTAATTCTCCAAATGCCCATTTAAGCCAGCGTACATCTCACCTGGACCTGTGCAGAGCAGCAACTACGAACCCTCAAACCTGCCCTGCTTTCCTCATTAAAGCTGTTAATGCTTCCAGCAGTACTGCCTCCCTTGCAGAGCAACTCTGCTTCTGTTCATATTTTCTGAAGGTACTTGGTGAAAAAAAAAAGGCATGAAATAAATGATCTTGGGAGAAATCATATCAGGAGGTAATTACAGACTGAATAATTCTGGAATCAGAAGACAGATGGAGTGAATTTCCTCATTCACCAGTGATAGACCAGCACATTGCACTCAGAATGAGGATTTGTCCCCAGCCATGGAAAGGGAGCAGCTATTTTATGGCACCGATTACTCACCTACAAGATCTTCAACATGTTCTGTTGGGAAATGCAACCACTAAAACACTTCAGTTATGCAAGAGACCCTGAGGGCTATATCCGAATAAATGCAATATCTCTGATTTAAATAAGTGGGAATTAAACAGAGCCTACTCTCTGGGATTGGGAAATAAGAAAAAGTGACTTGAAAATTTACTCCATAGAGAAGGACATCCGTGTTTTCCTTGAATTGGACATTATAGGCATGGCTGGTATTAGTATATTTTGGGATATAAAATATAGTAAGAGAGTTTATTCTGTGTCCTTTCTCTTGTCTAGATTTTCATCTCATGTTTAGCGCTGGGACTTTTAGAAAATGACTGTAGGAGTTGAGACAAAGAATAGAAATGCTGCGAGAAAACATCAAAAACTTTTTCTGGGACAGTTTCAAACTTGAGGTTTTTCGAGTTTTTTTTAAGAATAAACAACACCTAAGGAGTAAAAGATTGCCTGACATGGACCAACAAAAATAAACACAAACTGCACAGGCAGTTCCCTGCCTGGGAGTGCCATCCCAAGCCCGGAGCAGCAGGGGATGCTCTAGGCTCAGTGCAGCCCACAGGGCAGAGTCTGAGGAGTGCTCCTTTCTCCTCAGAAGGGAATATTCCTCTATATGGTTTGAGTGACACCAATATTGGAATATTTTATTCACTTTTGATGTCCGCATTTTTCACAGTCTACCGAAAACCTGGAGAAGGTGGGCAAAAAAAGCCTCAACTTGTATTTGGGAACCAGAGAAAGTGCCATACAATGATTAGATTCCATGAAGCCAATATGTTCAGCTTCTAAAAAAACTGAAATGTTGGGATACAGATGTACAATCATAAGAGGAAAACACCAGGTGCCAAAGGACTCTTTGTCTTGGGGATAAAAATAACATAAGGCTGGAATCTGTAGTCAGACAAAAAATCTAATTAGAAAGAAGGCATATTAACTCAGTATTAACTCAGATATTAACAACTGCAAGAGATTTTCAATGGGAAGTAATAGATTCTTAACGTTTTACTGATGTAAATCACAACTTTTTTTCATGTTTTTCTTCATGTTAGTTCAAGAAACAGTTACCTCCTAGTTAAATAGAATTTACTGGGTCTGAGTAATGAAGTGGGAATTAAAGACAAAGATAGGAAATGGCAACCTGAATCCTGTGTCTTTAGCAAGACACTGTGTATGTCACAAGGCTACTGCGTAAACAGGGCAACGTAAACTGTTATTATCTTCTTATGAATTCAGCTGAATTTAGGATTATGCTGTAGGAAATGTTACCTGTGTGGCTCTGAGGAACGACCATGACTAAGAGGAAAAAGATTTTAGTTGGACTTCGAGGACTATCTCCCAGTACAAGGCCTCATGCTGGTCTCTGCTGGCACGGAAGGAAAAAGATGTCAGTAAGATGTCAGCCTGCTGAGAATCTTCCACTGATTTCAGTACAAGCATCCCATCAGTTCAGTCAGTGCGTGGGAGTAAGAGAGCGATGGGAGAGAAGGACAGGAACCACAAAGGGCACCACTTCATCTCAGCCTGCTCATTAGCTGGGATAAACATGGGCTCTTGGCATACTCACACGTTAGGAAGTTTAATGACTGCTGTTAAGGACTCTGTGGCTGTGGGAGGCTGAGGAGAGCACTGGAAACAGCACAGCCTGTTCCTCCTGACACAAACCAGGCACTTCTTGTTCTTCTCTGCTGCCATTTCACGCAGGGGGTTCCTAAGCAGGCTTTCACATCTGATGTTGAAAGCAGAATTAATCATGTAGCCTTTTTACTTGCAAAGAGAAAAGAAAAATAAAATATCTAGTGGCAGTGAAAATCTCAAAGAAATCACGTCTAAAGACAAAAGGTTGTGAGTTGCTGAAGTCATCAGGGCCGAAGGCCAGGGCTCTGTGCTCTCTCTGTACTTTTGCAAATCCTTCTTTGTGGATTTCTTTCAAATCCTCCACTCCATAGCCACATAGTAATAGGAGATCAATTATTTAAGTGTATTAGAAAAGGCTCTGGCTAAGAGATTGCTTAGGGATCGCTCGAGAGCCCAAATGATTTGCTAAAGATAAACTGCACTGACCCAAAAGCTCCGATATGCTCTTTATCAGCACTAACTGTATTCCCTCCATCCAGAGTGACAAAATGCAATGGAATCTGCTAAAGAAAACCCAAATAAAACTGGAACCAATTACTATCAATAAGGTAGGCTGTCACAGAGAAAGACTTTTAAAAGTGTTGCCCAGAGGTAAGAAATTACTAGTTACGCCCTTGACCTTCAAGTTTTGCCAATATTCAGAGCTTTGAAGGTTGGGTTTTGTAAGAAGAAAATCAGATGATGATAGATGAAATACTTCTTTAATGACATACAGTTCACTTTCCCAAAATGTTCCTTTTAAGCAACTTGCAATTTCTTCATTCAAAGTATGTCGGCAGTCACAGCTTGGTACTCTTCATCTTCTCACAGGGCCACATTTCCTCTCCTTCTCCAGCCATCTTAAAAAATACAAATACATCTTGGTTTTCTGAAAGGAATTAATTAGTCTAATGCATTAGACTTTGGCAAACCTCTCCAGATGTGCTGGATTCTCTGATCCTAGTGATGTCCTTTTCCAAAATGCCCTCTATATACCAATAATAAAGACCCATTCCCACTCATCAAGTCCCTCTTCCTCCTGCTGCAGTTCTGAGCTGCGGAGGCTTAACGAGTGGAAGCAAAACCACATTTAAAGGAGGAATAAACATGCCCTTGCCACATAATGCTGAAAAGTGATCTTTTTAAGCAAATCTAGAGAACAACAACAGACATCACAGCCTGCACTAATTTCAGGTGATTAAATACTTGACTTTTACTGAGACTCAGATGTTTATAAGGAATTAAAAAAAAGTATCTTTTGGGCAATGTTAGTATGACATTTCAGGACCCTGTTCTCCCCTTGCTATGGAAATTCATAATAACAGCCATTAATCAATTCTGTTACTTCAGTCACAAGTTAAACTTCAGCAACACTGCCCTGATTATAGCTGAAACAAATGGAATTTATGAAATAACTTTTAACCATATCATGGATTATACCTTGATTGCAACATTAATTCAAATTCAGGCACTTAATTATATCTTTCCTGCTGTTATCTATATTTATATTTATTGTTATCAACTTGCTTGGCAGAGGTGAAAACAAGCATAACTCAGGGAAAGAGAACATCTTTGTATTTTCGCACTGGCCTAACTTTGACACAAATCCTCCACTTCATCAAGACCTTGACTTATGTTCCACAGAAAGGAAATCAAGTATATTACTGAGTACTCCTCTGAACAGGAATGGGGTGCTGAAGTGCAGCTTGTGTAATTTAATTGCTAAATTATATCTCATGCTCTCTTTTCCCCTTGGGAATACACATTCTTTGCCTGTTCTAGGAAAGGAGAAAATAAAAGAATGAGAGCAGCCACAGAAGAGTTACTGATGCCCTGAGAGCACAGTTCATTAAGTGAGTAGTCAACAGGCACATTGCATGTTCCAGTGTCTTTCTCTGAGCTAAAATTGTTTGGACAAGTGGGCCTAACACTGAGAATGTATTTTATAGTGTCTGTGGTACGAAGCAAACTAGATTTTACTCACTTTACTTGAACATGACTGATGAATATTCACTGGGTTTAAAGCCAGATGACAAAACAAACCTGTTGTTAGTCTAGGAATGGAACACACTGAAAATCAACAAGTATTTTTTTCAGGACTTCTGTATAATGTACATTAATAGTTGGTGAAGATACAGTCCTTTGCTCATACGTCTCCTTATCTGAAAAAAAAAATCCTTTAAAACATACTAAAAGCTGTTTTCTTCCTTTCTTTCTTCAGAGATTTCTTGAACCACCTTTAGAGCAGAAGCTGGTAGATCCAGCACCCCCGTTTGCACCAAAGAATTCCACTGTGAGGAATTCAGTATCTCCCCATAGTTTAAAGAGAATTCAGACATATTTCTTTTGTCTAATTGCATTGTGGAAACCACCCTCATTCTTTGTCATCACCCAAATCTGAAGCTCCTTCAATTAAAAGAAATGTCACCAGCAAGTCCTTTCCTAGTTTATTCCGTGAATGCTGTTCTTTATAAGAGGTCAATGTGTGTAGGAGACCAGAGGAATGGTTGAGTGGCTCGAAACAACCAGGTGGGAAGTGTGAGGGGGAACAGGGAGAGATCTGCATAGATAGGACTGCCACTCCTCCACCCCCATCCCCTTGAGCCTTAGTCAGCCTCTGGTCCACACTGGAACAGCAGCAGCCAACCCTATAGCCTGCCCCAAAATGGCAGAGGGAGCCCATGGCCTGTCACAAAATGGTAGACCAACCCATGGCCTGCCCCAAAATGGTGTAGTGAGCCCATAGCCTGTCACAAAATGGTGTACGGACCCATGACCTGTCAAAAAATGGTGGACTGAGCCCATGGCCTGGCCCAAAATGGCGGAGTGAGCCCACGGCCTGTCACAAAATGGTGGAGTGAGCCCGTGGCCTGTCACAAAATGGCAGAGTGAGCCCATGGCCTGTCACAAAATGGTGGAGTGAGCCCATGGCCTGCCCCAAAATGGTGGACTGACCTGTGGCCTGTCACAAAATGGTGGAGTGAGCCCATAGCCTGTCACAAAATGGCAGTGACCCGAGGTCTGTCCTAAAATGGCAGAGTGAGCCCATGGCCTGCTGCAAAATGGCAGACTGCCCCCACAGCCTATCACAAAATGGCGGAGGAACCCATGGCCTCTCGCAAAATGGCAGNATGGCAGACCGACCCATGGCCTGCCCCAAAATGGCAGACCGACCCATGGCCTGCCCCAAAATGGCAGACCGACCCATGGCCTGCCCCAAAATGGCGTAGTGAGCCCATAGCCTGTCACGAAATGGTGTACAGACCCATGACCTGTCATGAAATGGTGGACTGAGCCCATAGCCTGGCGCAAAATGGTGTAGTGAGCCCATAACCTGTCACAAAATGGTGTACTGACCCATGACCTGTCACAAAATGGTGGACTGAGCCCATGGCCTGGCCCAAAATGGCAGAATGAGCCCATGGCCTGGCCCAAAATGGCAGAGTGAGCCCATGGCCTGTCACAAAATGGTGGACTGATCCATGACCTGCCCCAAAATGGCAGAGTGAGCCTGTGGCCTGTCACAAAATGGCAGACTGACCTGTGGCCTGTCACAAAATGGTGGAGTGAGCCCATAGCCTGTCACAAAATGGCAGTGACCGGAGGTCTGCCCTAAAATGCCAGAGTGAGCCCATGGCCTGCTGCAAAATGGCAGACTGCCCCCACAGCCTATCACAAAATGGCGGAGGAACCCATGGCCTCTCGCAAAATGGCAGATGAACCCACGGGCTGTCACAAAATGGTGGACTCAGCCCATGATCTGTCAAAAAATGGCAGAGTGATCCCACGAATGACCCTAAATGGCAGCTTGATCCATGGCCTGCCCCAAAATGGCAGATATATAAATATATTGTAAGCCAGAGTAAAAATTCCAGTCAATGCCTTAAGTGCGCGCCTTGTTGTATCCAGACAAGTTAAAGTTTGCTAAGTTAAAGTTTGTGAAGTGTAAAGTTGTGAAGTTTGTGAATACTTTGTCTGGACGTTGTTTTAAAATTTGCCAAGTACCTTATTCTACCGTAACGTTCTGAAGTTTGCAAATAAAAGTTTGGTGTTGAACCCCCCGAGAATTTTGTGGTTTCTCCCACCCAGTGTGAATCAACCAACCTTCCCCTAAACCCCCGGGGCACCGCAGAGCGGGGGGCTGGGTAAGAGTGTCAGTGGTCGTTGCTGAACGTGCAGCACATGAAACAGAGAGAAGGAAAAAGCAGCTTATTCTGTGCAGTGTGATCACAAAAAACCCCAAGTTTCAATGTTGTCTTAACAGTATCATGGATAATCCATTATGTAGAATCCTGCATGGATAGAAATGTGAGTCCCCTGCCATTGGCTTGAAATCCAATCAGTGCCCGTCACTTCCAGCAGGAAACAGAAAGTTGCTGGATTTAATGGCCTAGCTCTCTTTCCAAAAAGCCTCATGTCCCCAGCAAGTAGAGGAACCTTTGGGATGTCTCAGACTAATAATTCCATCAGTTAGGGTAACTCGTATTCCATGACCGAGCTTCACAACTACATGGACATTCCCTCATATCTCACAGCATGGTCCACACAAAATCTGCCAGTTCTGATTTACTCACCACTCCTGGCACTGCATTCTGCTGATCTTTAATCAGGAGAGTGCTTTGCCTCCAACTTTATGTCAAACTAAATAATAACAACCGCATGACAATAATAATAACAATAATAGTAACAATAATAATTAAGTTATTGACAAAAAAATTTTAAAAGTAGCTGGTGATGACAAAACTATCTTACCATTAGAAAATTAATTCAGAAGAGCTTTAAAATAAAACTAAGAAAAAACAAGGAAGAAATATTGTCTTCCTGCTCAGGCTGGTCCTCCCGAAGGTGTGGCTGTCACTAAGACAGGATCAGAGTTAATATCTGACCACGCCCAGAGGGCATGTGGAGAAGGCTTGACACAACTTAAAAATCATCAGTAAATCCTCCTCGCTTTGCTCCCGCCTCCAGTCTTTTTTGAGCTCTCTTTTTCAATGTTTACCTATCGAACCTTCCCTCAGGTTGGGCACGTAACACATCTGCAGACATAAATAACCCGTGGAATCCTGCCGTGAGAGCGTAGGAGCTACTTACAGCTCTGTCAAACAAAAAGCCAGGCTCGAGAGCTGCACAGCATCACCAAAAACTGGAGACCTCTGTATTGCTGCAGTGAAAAAAACAAGAGCAGACACGGCATCTTTTACATCAGGAGCTTTTCAGCAAAACATTCAGGAAAACTTCCAAATCGTGGGTATTTTCTAACCCCCTCTAAACCCAGCTTTTGCCCTATACTGCATCAAAGTAACAAATTCAAGGGGAATGTACTCCTCTTATGTACTCTACAAACACTTACTCTTGTGGCACATTTATTAAACATACAGAGAACTGATCCACTGTTCTGCCTTGCACCGCTTACTTTCAAGGACTCCCATTTTGCCTGAGAGAGAACAGATATAAATAATTATAGAATAAAATACTGTCAGAGAATAATGCTCTCTGGTTGCTTTGGTCCAATAAAAGCCAAAGCCACCATAAAACTTTCATGGGAAAGGGCAATAATTGATTCTATGAGGGTAACACTTTATCACGCTGCCTTGTTGCTATTATGCCAAAGTAAATTAAAATATCTTAGTCCACCTCTATATATAGCTTAGTTTACACACCTAATTCTGGTCTTTTTAAAATGACCTTGGAAAATGAAGTGCCTTTTCTCACAGGCATGAATTTTATACATCACGTTTTCTAGTATAATATTCTCATTTCTTTTAAGGACATGACTGGCACATTAAAAAAGAAAAAAAAGTGAGAAATTAGAGAACATCTGAGTTCCTGATTACTCATTGAATAGTCTGGATCTGAAGTAAAGCTAGACAGATTTCTAAGAAATTAATTTGTCTTCTGAAGGGCCACACAGTATGAAAAATAAGTGACAGTATTAAACACTTAGGCAGATAGACATCATCCCTTTATAATCATTATTTATATGTAACTATTCAAGAAGTTAATTTCTGTGTTCTCCCCGGTATATTCAACACAGAAGTAACTCCAAAATCTGACTGACTTGTTTCTGTGTTTTTGTTAATGACAGTTTTATGCTGCTTTATAGCTGAAAATATGCAATTTGCTGGGGTTTGGCAGAACATACCTGCAGTTAGTTCCCTTTTAAAAAGGTCAGGAGGTGTTGGACATCATTCAGATTTCTGCATGCACTGATTTTAGGAATGTTTCAACAGTAATCCATCAATATAAATGTGATTTCTGAGTCAAGTGAGGCATCGTTGAAAAGCAGCTTATTTGAAATTCTACCAAAATATGTTATAGCTATGCAACAAATGAACCATCAATTTTACTTAACATAATTCATCTTGAAACTCATATGTGTGTATGTATTGTATCAATTACCCCAGATCACCAAGAATGTGCAGCCAGTCCGTGCATCCATCATCCGTGCAGACACCTTGGAAAAGGGCAAAGTTTGAAGCATGTCTCAAATGATAAACATACTGAAGGAAGAAATTCTGTTTCAGAAGCAAAATGTCATAAAACATTCCTGCACCAAAAATAATGGTAATAAAAAAAATCTCACTTGAATTTGTTTAAAATAAATTAGGCCAGAATTGCCATCTTGGATGCAAAAAAGAGGCAGACTACTTTTATGAATGCCATAAAAATAAACTATTTTAATAGGTACATAAATAAAAGGTTTAAAGTAGAATTTTCCCCCCGAAGAGCAAGATGGCCTAGCTTCTGTACAGCAACTGAACAGCATTCACATGACTCCTAAATTAAATAAACCCTTTGTTACATTCAAAAACCACTGGAGGCAAATACACAATGCAATGACGCACCTGAATTTATCTCCTTCCTCATCCTAGCAGTGTATACAGTATTTCCTTGGTTTACAGTACTCTGAGGATATGGATCTGTTAAATAAAACTCTGAATGACAGGGTGGAAATCAAAGTAAAAAAGCAAAGTTAAAAACCCCTGTAGAACCCTGGCACCCAAAGGGGTACTTTGCATCAGCCAGGAGGTTTTAACAGGAGAGAAATAAGGATTGTGCTGTAAAATAAATTATGTCTTTTACATATTGTTGTATAGTTATGTTAAAGTGTTTAAATAGTTACATTCACTTTGGCAATGTGTTTTTGTCTATGCCTATAATAAATTATATGTGGTGTGTGCTAGCTGGTCATGTGTTTTACTGCAAATGGGGGGAGCTTAGCACATCTAGGAAATGTTAAAAATGTTTCAGATTTATTTAAGACAGACAAAATCTAATTCAAAGCAGCTTTCCTCCTATCATGCCCCCCTTCCCAGCACCTCTAAGAAGTTACCCTGATGGCTTCATATTTTTGCTGTGTTGTATCAAAAAATGTCATAGGTTGCTGACTAACACTTACTGACCCACAGAGGTTCTCAGGTTTTGTTTTTCCTTTCTCTTTTTCAATCACCTCTCATTTTGAGGACATCTGCCATTAACATCTCCATCCTCTCCAAAGATTCCTACTAGTTAAGGCAAGGAAGCACCATTTAGTCCATCAAAGCTGAGTTTCCTGAAATGAGGTGTTATCGCTGTTGTTTTCTGGAATGTGGTGGTGGTGGGTGAGGACCATTCATCCTGTGGAGGACGAAGTCTGTCATGTGGACACTCAGAGTGTTGAGATACCTTGTGCTGGTGAAATCAGAATAAAAAATTCAAAGACGACAACTTTCATCCATAGTGCAGAACTAGCATTTCTAGTCTATTCCGTCAGAAGTTCAAGTCTGTTGGTCCAAGCCGACTCAGACTCAGCCAAAGAGGGTGCTCAGAGTCTAACCACCAGGAAGACGTGACCGGCAAGGGAATGACTGCCCCTTTTTCCTGTTTGCTTTCTTCTTGCTCTTGTTCTTCTTCTGCTTATTTGCACCTTTGCTTTTATCCGACTTCTTTTTCTTTTCGTCCTCCTTAAACCACGGCCCCCAGACTCCTCCGTTCAGCTTGGGGTTACTCCGGGGATCCTTCGGTGGGTAGCGGACGGGAACCGCGGTCTTATTGAACTGCGAGAGCCTCCGCAAGAGCTGCTTCACCACGTCTGGGTACCTGGCAGAGAGGTCCACCCGCTCGTAGGGGTCGGCGGTGATGTTGAAGAGCCACACCGTTTTGCCAGCGGACCAGGAGACGCGCTCGTTGTGCCAGCGGTTGGGGCCCGCGTTGCTGAAGGCCTGCGGAGGCACCCAGTCGCTGTATCCCGGGTTTCCCGTCAGTAGTTTCCAGTGGTTCACTCTGATGGCGGATTGGATGGCGGTGTTCCAGATCCCGTAGCCAGCGGCCCAGGAGCCATTTTTGGCTTTGGTGTAAATGGGGTCGATGTTGTGCAGGATGTCCACCCGCGGAGAGCGCCTGCCTTCGCTGATGGTTTCCCAGATGTCATACCCGTCCAGCTGGATGTCTTCATCGATCTGCCCTTCCGCCAGCGTGATCAAGGTGGGGAACCAGTCCGTGATGTGCACCAGCTCCTTACACACAGACCCTTTGTTTTTCAGAAGGGGGCTATGGACAAACCCAACGGCGCGGATACCCCCTTCCCAATAGGTCCCTTTGCTCCCTCGGAGAGGCCAGTTGCTTCCTCCGGCCATAGGCTGCCCACCATTATCCGAGGAATATATGATAATGCTATTCTCATAGTAACCATACTTCTTTAGAGCAAGGGTCACGTTGTTGATGGCTTCATCCAGACAGGCCAGCATCGCCGCGTACCTCCGCCTGTTGATGTTATTTATCGACCGGTAATGTTCAAAATACCTGCCCGGCGCCTGAAGGGGCGAATGGACAGCCTGGTAAGCGATGTAGAGGAAGATGGGCTTCCCGGGGTTGTGAGAGGCCAAGATCTGCTGCACTTTCTGCGTGTACATCTGCGTTGAGTAGATGCCGGTGTCGTGGTCCCACGCGGCGTTGTCGTTCTCGTAGAGGTCGTAGCCACAAATGCCTGGGCTGTCGCATTTGAAGTGCGTGTAATAGTCGCCGCTGCCCAGGAGGGAGCCAAAGAAGGAGTCGAAGCCCCTCTGCGTGGGCATGCACTCCCGGCGGTAAAAGCCCAGGTGCCACTTGCCCACCATGTGCGTTGAGTACCCAACCTCCTTCAGCTTCTGAGGTAGCGTGACGTTATCCAGAGGTAAGCAGTTGGGTTGGGTCGGCCGGATGATGGAGTGCTGGAGGCCCGTGTGGATCTGGTACCTGGAGGCAGGAAGAGACAGGCATCAGGTGGGGCGGTGCAGGAAATGCTCAGGTGTGTGGACACCCATGTGCACAACCGTAACAAGATATTCCTATGCATGCAGCAACCTTCTCTGGGAATATTTCAGAGCGTGTACATCAAAAACCAGCTCAGTCATACTATCAAATCTGCTGAAATGGGACAATGCCATATGGTTTGCTTCACCCCACCTCCTTTGGCCAGTGGGCAACACCACCAAATGAGAAATGTGACTCTCCCTGCCAGCCTCATTTTTAATGCCTTTATTTCCTGGTAGCTCTGGGCAATGTCAAAAGACCTCAGAGGCGACACGCTGCCTCTGAACTATTATTTGGGCACAACTGTCTTAAAGCCACCAGTCAAACTCCCGGACCTCCATGGCATCCCTTATGTCGATCCCAGCCCTGGGAAGTAGATGAAGCGCTACAGCCCCACCTCAGGACCAGCTGTCACGGCATGTGCAGTATTGAGCCCAAGGGCCTGACCTCTGCTCATCCATCATGCACTACGCCCATGGGCTATGACTTAGCATTTATTTCCTGAGTAACACCCTGGCCAAAACTCAAGGAAAGAGGCTTCTGAGTGATCACTCAAAAGGAAGTGACAATTCAAGCACTGCATCTCTTCTTCAGCAGTCATCTTCTGTCCTTGCCTCACTGCTGGGTGAAACATTACCTTCCGTGAACTGAGATAGTCAAAATACCTACAAATACAGGAGCACGGGTATTTACAGGTACTCTGTTTTTCCTCCACAGAAAGCTTTCACATGTCTCCATTTAGCAATGATTATAGAAAATTATGTGGATAAATACAGTTTTTACAATGCCTCGTAACTCGCCAGTGGTAAACGCATCTACAGCATATAAAAATGCTGGACTTTGAGCATGTAAGAGCAGTATATTTAAAGGATGGGATAATAAATTCTGCAGTGCAGCACAGCCTATGTGTAAAGAATACATATGGCCTCCATATGATTAGAAAATAAACCCAGCACAGACAGCAGTAAGTATCAAAAATCAAGGAAAAATAGGTTTCTATCAGTTCAACACTAAAAAATAGAATGTAACAGCAGATTATAAACCAAAGGCAACTTCTCCTTGAGTGTGAAAATAGATTAAATTCTCAGGCACAAATAGAACAGCTAGGTCCACCAATACTGCGAATCTTCCCCAAAACCACTTTTAATTCAGTTCTGGTAGCAGGAGCTGGGACTTCCTGACACGTTCTGCTGGAGTTGCCAATCTGATTGGCCTCCTGAGCTATCTAGAAAATTAAAAACATTAGGCTCTGCCTGTCCATAAATAACTTAAATCCTGCTTTTATATGATGGCTTCCTGGCCAAGATCTTAGAAGGCGCCATAGCTGTCTTTAGTGGCTGGCAATCTGTAGGAATTGTGTAACTCCCACTTAATTCTTGAACTAATTTCCGTGGAACCAGAAGCTCTGGCCTAACTAATTCGTTGCAGAAGCTTTGGGTGTTGCACTGGACTAAACGTGCTGCAGAGCTGCTGCTTTGCTTTGCCTCCCTGGCCCCTTTTCAGAGCATTGTCTCTGGGACCAGTTTGGGGACCTGGAGCCCGGCCACCCAATTGTCCCCAAACTCACAGCTGGTGCCGACACAGGAGATACTGCAGTGCAGTTAAAGCACACTGTCAACATTATGGGTTTCTGGCACCTACACTTTGCTTTTTAAAAAGAAATATCACGCACACACAAATACCCACGTCCTTCCCATGATTCAGCTGTAATATTCTTCTCTTAAAAACAGGTAAACTACCATCAGGAAACCACGCAGTTCAGTTCATTCCATGTTTGAGAGTCCTCAGGGAACTTTGTCCACAAGGCATTTCATTTCCTTCCCCTTCTCTTTCATCCACCTTGTTAAATCCTTTCAGTAAATTCCCATTTTTTGATCCAGCTGGAAAAGTCCTTGCCCCCACCCTGCTCTTTTAGTAAGGAGCTTCTGTTTTCTTAACACTGACATCCTCCCCGATCTCGAGATCAGCCCCTAATTCCAGTTGAGCAGTTTCTCCCCTGATAAGCTAATTTTGCTGGAAGTCAGGATTTTCTCTAAGGGGATGTTGTAGTGACACTTCTCCTCTACACAGCAGCTGAGCCTGGGGGGAACAAGCAACAGCATTTGTGACACATTGCAAACCAATTTGTCTCTTGACAACGCCTACACAGAAAGCATGATAGTCACACAAAGTTAATTCCCATAAAGAATTCCTAAAACACCACACGGATTCCCCAGCGAGGGCTTTTCAATTAGAGATCCAAGCATGAAATTCCTACCCTGTTAATCTGGGAAATACTGAACCAAAAAATATCAAGAGTTAGCCTCGGTCACACAGGCATTCAGCACTGCATCTTGTTTTAGTGGTGCCCTCAATTCTTCAATCTGCTGGCAACAATGCACATATAATATAGAAATATAAATATATATGCACATATATTCTCTGCTGCTGCCTTCTTGCATGAGACCTCGGTGTGTTTCCCATATGTGTGTGTGCCTGTGTGCTATTTTTGGCACAGCTATGCTTCTGAATGTACCTATAGGCACACAGACAAATAGACATGCAATTTTTTATACTCACACATGCAAAAAGGGAGCTGCAAAAGAATCAATTTGAAGTCAAAATATTTCAAGCATAGAAACGCTTCAAAGAAACATCAACCTGATTATCAGAATGTTTTTCACTACTACAAACATGGCTAAGATTTGTTCACTTTCTTTGCCACATGCCTTCCTAATTGATCCATTATGTGCCAATATTACTTTTTCAGTGAAAGTATTTCATTTTCAAAGGACTTGCAGAGCACTCATGGGAAAGCAAAGAAATCTGAGCAAAAGACAGTGATGATATGGAACCAAATGGCATTAATAGCAACAGGAAAAGTGTCTCAACACAACTATTTTGAAACTGTATTTAGGCTCTGCAAGAGGGATAAAACTGAACAAGGCAAAACATAAAGGGAATAAGAGGCAGATGCTGATTTTGGGGAAGTTCCCTGGAAGATAAAGTCACAACCTCACAACTGCCATAAAATGTCTGAGAGATACATCCTAGAGATTTCATCACTTTCTACCACAAGTTTAGCTAATTCTTTAAAATAAATCGGTTGAATTTAATGCCAAATGCAAAAAGCAAGTTAGGGCTATGACTAGCCTGGAATTCATTATTACAATTTCAACACTAGCAACCAGTCAAATGTAAGTAAATGCTGACGGGCCACAGAACCTAATTTCATCAGTTTTTAGACTTCATCCTTTGTGGACACTATTTGCATACAGGTAATAAAGTGATAATAGTCTTTATAAAGAGCAGGGGTTCAAGACCTGGGAATATTTTATATGCACGTGCCATGCTCTCCTTTTCCCCCCCCACCAAGTCTCCATTAGACGCCTTGAAATCTGAAATCTGCTGAACGAGGAACGAAGTAAAACCTATGCAAATTGTTCAGCTGATACGATGCACGTTGAAAATTAATTTCTCCTCACCGTGTCTCAGTGGTTTCCACTCCTATTTTCATTTTGCTGGTGTGGTTGCTCAGATGTTTGCAGTAAAACCCCTGCCAGGGCAGCTGCTGATGGACACACCGCCCTGTTTATTTGTTTGTAGTGGAAACTTGAAAGCAACAGCCTCCCAAGAGGGAGCATCCTGATGACTTCATAGGTCCTCTGTCCCTTGGATGCCAAGAGAAATGTTTCAGAAGTTTCTTAAAATAAATAAATAAGCAAATAAATCCTCCATCCTGAGTGTGAGCTCACGATACCCCTTTCCAACAGGAGTTTTCTAAGGAGTGTTTTCCCCCTTAACTTCAGGGTGGGTTCTGCACCGAGGAAGAAGTTGGGATGTTTCTAATTGTGTAATGTGCCTGTACAACACTACTGATTTCAAGCTTTCACAGTGTTCAAATACTGCATTAATTGTCTTCAAACTGAGATTCTTCTAAGGCTCACTGAAGACTAACAAAGAAGCTCAGTTGGAAGTTTCTAATTTCAATAGCTTTTGCTAGGACTGCTCTAGCTAGGGCATATGGAAAACGTATTTTTCTTATGCTTGCATAGCTCAGGATATGTTAAAAAAAAAAATCTCAGTGTTTAAAATAATAAACTCTAGCCCAGGATTCAGAAAAGAATATTTTAAATAAAAAAAGGGCTCACTCTTGTCCACCTCAAGGCTGTTTTGAGCTCTGCAAGGTGCTTGTGATGGAAGCAGAAGCTGTTGAGGAGCTCTTCTGCTTTCAGCCTTCCAACCAGGCTGGTGAAGAGCAGGACAGAGGGATGCAAAGCTCTTGATCATGGACATTTTGGACATGGATCAACATGACAGGATCACAGGAAAATGATTCTGCATTAGAAATATCTGCCATAAAAACTAAATGCTTTACACGGAATATGCTAAGGATTTTAAAACTAAAACTAGAACAAAGCTGCTCAATGTTAAATGTATGCCAGAGAAATATAATTTTCTATATTTAATCTATCATTTAACTATATTTATCCTCTGGCTTGTAATGCTAAGATTTTGGGGAGAAGGCAGGTTATGAGAGTAGATGGATCAGAGAAGCAAACGCGATATTAAAGAATAAATGTAAACTCCAAACCTTCACAGACTTTCACTGTGTCGTCTCACATAAATCAAACCCGAGGTGTTCACTCAGACATACACACACATTCATTTCATCCTCAGCTGTATTCCTTGAATTTTTATGGGCTTATAAATCAGAGTGGAAAAATATCCACTTCTAAACCGAGTATTTACAGAAAAACTCTAACTCAGGTTATTCACTGTTTTATCACTCTGGCAGTGCTATTGCAAACATGTCATTTGGAACGTTCTGCATCTTGCCCTACCTTCAGGGGTTTGGGTAGTGGTGGTGGGTTTTTTTGGTATTTTTAAATCAGTTAAGGCTCTTCCATCAAATTCAGGACAAGAAAAATAAAGTAGCAATTTACTTGTGGACTAATAACATC